CGTTGATTTTAAGAAAACTGCAAAATTGGTTGATTCTTCCCGAAGAATGAATAGAAAAAATCACCGAATTCAATAAAACGGCGAAATGTCATTACAAAGTCCTGCGCCGACAAAAAACGACGACAACGGCGGAACAGACATTTAATATTTTTCGGCGTCAAAAAATTGGCAGTAAACCGGCTAAGTTTTCAGCTGTGTTTCTAAATTTTTAAAAGAAATTGAATAAAAGCTTGATCCATATTACTAAAAATCTTATTTTTCAAATGTTTTTTTTCGAATCCAAAATGAAAAAATCTCAATTTTAATTGTTCTGTTCCGAAATTCAAATGAAAAATCTTAACTCTTATTATACTGTTTTAGAATTTATATAAGAAATATGCTTTTAATTTGAGATTTTCTGAATTCAAAATGAAAAATTTCAATTTCGATTGTTTCCTAATTTCTAAAGAAAATTTTCATAATAAAAACGAATTTTCTGAATATCATATCAACAATCCTATTGTGTTTTTTATAGACGATATGAAAAACCAATTCGTAAAACCATATGAAATAAAAATTATATTGGAGAAAAAATGTTTCCCAGCTACATAAAGGTTCAAAATGTCCATTATGTATCTGAAATTGCAAAATTCCCTAGATTTCGTGAAACTTCTATATATAAATTATATAAATATTCAACGACGGCGGCTAGGCTTTATGCTAATTCGGCTCAGGTTTCTGTATCGTTTTCATTTGCTTCGTTATTTGGGGTGGCACAATTTGGTACTACTTTAAAGGGCGTTTTTACATAGAAATGCAGTGCTTTTTAAACTGTTTTTAAAGGGATGATTAATTTAAATTTTAACTACTTTTTAAAGCTGATTTTTTTAGAACTTTTTATACCGAAATAGATTTTTTTCTTTTTTGAAGAAAACTTTCTATAAATCATTTTTTTAATATTAATAAATTTGCTATTTTTAGAAAATCTATAACAGAATAACGTGGACAATTTTTTTGGTACTTTTCATTTTTGTTTGTTTGGTACAATTTATATTGTTTACACCAACGCTGTAGTAGAAAACATTCGCCCAAACAACGTCAACGCTTTATTCAAATGGCCGAGATGCCAGATTATTTTATACAAAACCGCGAATTTAACTGAAACAAAATAATATTAAATCGACTGAAGCTAATCGATAAATAGATTCTCTTGTATAAACAAATCAAATTTGTAAATAAAAAAAGAAAAAAATCGAAAATGTCGAAAAGCCAAATTAAAAAAAAAAAAAAAAAAAAATACGAAAATTTTAAATTTTAAAGTCGAAAAATTTAATTTTTATAAATTGCAGAGTCAAAAAGTCGGGTTTTTTCAACTATGGAGTTCTATGAAGAGTGAATATTTCCTATTAATTTTTGGATCAAATGGATCGAAACAAGAATGTAATATTTACCTATAAAAGGTTAAGAAAGCAATATATGAAATTAGTTTTCCAAGTGTATCACTTAGAGAATAACCATCGTCAACAGTCAGATTATTACAACAATATATTCCAAAAATATCTGTTGATCAAATACTAAAAATAGCTAAAACCTACAAAAAGATCCCTTCATTCAAAATCAAGAACTTGTTTTTTATTTTTCACACATACAAAAATACGTGAAATTCTTGATTTTGTTAAAAATTCTAAAAACTAAAGCAAAAATCTTTAAATTTTCCTATTAGCCAATTGCATGAAATTAAAAACGTCAAAATACCTCAAAAATTTTACACATCTGGCCACACTAAGTACTTTTTTATACAACTGTGAAATTTTTTATATCAAACACACAATTGTTTCGTTCTAAAATTTTATTTTGCAAACTTTTACCAAACTCACTAAGAAAAAATAAAGAAATTTTACAAAAAAAAGTAAGTGTTATTGAAAAAATAATATTATAAACTTATGGAATCGTCAAACGGTGAAGAAAACCTTTTGGGTTGGCAATAAATAAAACGAAAACAATAAAAATAAAAGCGATGATTTCATTTTGCCTTGAGAAAGAAGAAGCAAAAACGGATGAAAAAAAAAAACTTCACTGATTTTTTTCTTGACTAGCTTGCTTGTTGTTGCTTCCGTACTTCGCCGCAGCGACGAGACAAGTTTTTTTTTATTGTTGACGCTACTGAGCAGTTCAAGTGACAGCGGGAGTGAAACAACCACAACAACAAAAAGAAAACCCCAATTGTAAAAATAAAAACAAAAATTTAGAAAAAGAAAAATAAAACAATAGAAAAAAAATAAACGTAAAAAACAACGTAGAAAAATCAGTTGCTTTAACAAAAAAACTGCTGAAAAAAGAGAAAATGTGGCAGAGTGTGGGATTTTCTTAAGACAAACACTTGTTAATTAATTGATTTTTCACCAGCAACTTAAAAAATTATAACTACAGTGCTACTTACATGTGTTTATCTTACTTTTATTTATATTTTATCTTTTCATTATAGAAAAAAAAACTTGTGAAAATTGTGAAAAATTTTTAAAGAAAAAGAACGAAACGACGACGATATTAAAACAGGGAAAGCAAATATAAAAAATATTAGATACAAACAAAATCTTTGAACAATTTTTTTTACAACATTTATAAAAAAATTGATTTAAAAGACTTTCCCCCCGAATAAAACCTAAAACCAGGAAGGATTTATATTCGATTTTCCCTGGATTTTAAACGAAACGAAACTTTTGCTCACTGAACTCTTTGATAGAGTCTATTAACACAATCCTCCCAACCCAACAAAAAATACACACACATAAAACGACCACATACAAACAACAAATAAAAAATTATGATGGAATCACCTCCACTGTTTAATAGTGTTGAAGACGAATGTCGTTATTGGAAGGAAAGGGCTAAACTCTATCACAAAGAGTAAGTGTTTGTTGTATTTGTAAAAAAATGTGAAATTTTCTTATTATTTTTTTTTTGCAATATTTAGGTGGACAGATGTTAAGCAGGAGTATGACGAATACGTTGAGCAATCACGTGAAATGGAAGCCGAAATGGATGCTACTATTGATCAAAAACAGGCAACAATTAAAGATCTCAGATTTAAATTATCATCAGTGGAAAAAGAAAATGAATCACTTAAGGTTAGTTGAATCATCCTTTTTTTAAAAAGTTAACAAAACCGGAATTAAAAAACAAGTAAGAGTTAGGTTTTGTGACCTTTATAATTATAATAAAATATTCCAACCAAACTCTAGCTCATTATCTGCTATTGTTTGAAAATTTAGATTTTAATAAAATATGATTGATATGAAGTGAAAAATGGGATCTTTAACAGCACTGAACAAGAACTGAACTAAAACTGAACTAGAACTGACCTGGGATTGAACTAGAACTGAGTTCAGTTCTAGCTAGAACTGAACTGAACTAGAACTGATTGATATGAAGTGAAAAATGGGATCTATAACAGCACTGAACAAGAACTGAACTAGAATTGAACTAGAACTGAACAAGAACTGAACTAAAACTGAACTAGAACTGAACTAGAACTAAACTAGAACTGAACTAGAACTGAACTAGAACTGAACTAGAACTGAACTAGAACTGAACTAGAACTGAACTAGAACTGAACTAGAACTGAACTAGAACTGAACTAGAACTGAACTAGAACTGAACTAGAACTGAACTAGAACTGAACTAGAACTGAACTAGAACTGAACTAGAACTGAACTAGAACTGAACTAGAACTGAACTAGAACTGAACTAGAACTGAACTAGAACTGAACTAGAACTGAACTAGAACTGAACTAGAACTGAACTAGAACTGAACTAGAACTGAACTAGAACTGAACTAGAACTGAACTAGAACTGAACTAGAACTGAACTAGAACTGAACTAGAACTGAACTAGAACTGAACTAGAACTGAACTAGAACTGAACTAGAACTGAACTAGAACTGAACTAGAACTGAACTAGAACTGAACTAGAACTGAACTAGAACTGAACTAGAACTGAACTAGAACTGAACTAGAACTGAACTAGAACTGAACTAGAACTGAACTAGAACTGAACTAGAACTGAACTAGAACTGAACTAGAACTGAACTAGAACTGAACTAGAACTGAACTAGAACTGAACTAGAACTGAACTAGAACTGAACTAGAACTGATCTAGAACTGAACTAGAACTGAACTAGAACTGAACTAGAACTGAACTAGAACTGAACTAGAACTGAACTAGAACTGAACTAGAACTGAACTAGAACTGAACTAGAACTGAACTAGAACTGAACTAGAACTGAACTAGAACTGAACTAGAACTGAACTAGAACTGAACTAGAACTGAACTAGAACTGAACTAGAACTGAACTAGAACTGAACTAGAACTGAACTAGAACTGAACTAGAACTGAACTAGAACTGAACTAGAACTGAACTAGAAGAACTAGAACTGAACTAGAACTGAACTAGAACTGAACTAGAACTGAACTAGAACTGAACTAGAACTGTATCTAGAACTGAACTAGAACTGAACTAGAACTGAACTAGAACTGAACTAGAACTGAACTAGAACTGAACTAGAACTGAACTAGAACTGAACTAGAACTGAACTAGAACTGAACTAGAACTGAACTAGAACTGAACTAGAACTGTATCTAGAACTGAACTAGAACTGAACTAGAACTGAACTAGAACTGAACTAGAACTGAACTAGAACTGAACTAGAACTGAACTAGAACTGAACTAGAACTGAACTAGAACTGAACTAGAACTGAACTAGAACTGAACTAGAACTGAACAAGAACTGAACTAGAACTGAACAAGAACTGAACTACTAGAACTGAACAAGAACTAGAACTGAACTAGAAAAATGGGATCTTTAACAGCACTGAACTAGAACTGAACTAGAACGGAACTAGAACTGAATTAGAACTGAACTGAACTAGAACAGAACTGGACTAGAACAAGAATTTTTTAATTTATATTTGACAAAATTAGAATGTACACTTTGTATCGTATATAAAGCAGCAAACGTACGTAAATTTTCTAATCAAAATCATTGAATTCATTATCTCTTTAAGTACTTGATTAAACAACGTAACAAAATAATTTTATATACTTTTATATTGATTGAGAAAGTTCAATAGTCTGATTGTCTAGAGCTAAAAGGAAATAAAAGAACTAAAGAACATTTTGTCAAATCAATTTCTTTCAAATGTATAAAATAAATAAAGAATGAGTTGTTACGTCTGCTACATTTGTTTTCTATTGTGTATTGCAAAAATCAATAACGTTTCTTCCATTTGTTAATTACCTCTTTTAAAAACTCTATTTTTAGCTTTATAAACATTTATTATTTTATGAGAATTTTCCTTTTGTAGCAAATTTGCTCAATAGAAAACATAGAAATAACTTTATTTAATTTCTTCCTTTTCTTTACTTCGTAATATTTTACATATTATTAAATATAGAAACATGTTGAAATCCTGATTATTAATAACGTTACACTTTAATAGCCTAAAGCTTATTCATAACTTTTATACCGAAGAAAAAAATAATAATAGTAATTTGTTGGATTTGATATTTTTCATTTAAAAGTGTTTTTTATTTAGCTATTAGCGGTATTCTTAGATGTTTTTCACAATGTAATTGTGGCCAGAAATATGTCGCCAAGAATTTAATAAGGTCTAAATTTAAAACAGTTGGAATATAGCCAACGTATTAATCTATTTACTATATTTGCTTTAAAGGTATAAACATGTTTAAAACATTTATAGTAAACATTTTTGTGACATAATTACCAGAATGATAACACTTTTTACATTAACTTATAAAAAACTCGTGGTGCGAGAGTCTTTTTATCAGTTCTACTAGTTCTAGTTCAGTTCTAGTTCAGTTCAGTTCAGTTCTAGTTCAGTTCTAGTTCAGTTCTAGTTCAGTTCTAGTTCAGTTCTAGTTCAGTTCTAGTTCAGTTCTAGTTCAGTTCTAGTTCAGTTCTAGTTCAGTTCTAGTTCAGTTCTAGTTCAGTTCTAGTTCAGTTTTAGTTCAGATCTAGTTCAGTTCTAGTTCAGTTCTAGTTCAGTTCTAGTTCAGTTCTAGTTCAGTTCTAGTTCAGTTCTAGTTCAGTTCTAGTTCAGTTCTAGTTCAGTTCTAGTTCAGTTCTAGTTCAGTTCTAGTTCAGTTCTAGTTCAGTTCTAGTTCAGTTCTAGTTCAGTTCTAGTTCAGTTCTAGTTCAGTTCTAGTTCAGTTCTAGTTCAGTTCTAGTTCAGTTCTAGTTCTAGTTCAGTTCTAGTTCAGTTCTAGTTCAGTTCTAGTTCAGTTCTAGTTCTGTTCTAGTTCAGTTCTAGTTCAGTTCTAGTTCAGTTCTAGTTCAGTTCTAGTTCAGTTCTAGTTCAGTTCTAGTTCAGTTCTAGTTCAGTTCTAGTTCAGTTCTAGTTCAGTTCTAGTTCAGTTCTAGTTCAGTTCTAGTTCAGTTCTAGTTCAGTACTACATAATTCTTTAAATCTTTTTAATTTAGATCAAACTCGAATCACATAGTATGGAATTAAATAGCATTGAAAAACAATTGGAAAATATGAAAAAAGAACGAGATTCCATGAAAGACTACCTGCGACAGTTGGAACAGAAAAATGATGATTTAGAACGAGCGCATCGTATACTAAATGAAAGTATTGTAGATTTTGAACGAATGCTGGATAAAGCATATGAAAAGAATGCATTACTTGAAATGGAAGTAGATGAAAAAGAAGTTTTACAAGAAAAACTACAAAGATTAATGGATGAAACGAGAGGTAGATACAAATTGTATTTTATCTAATTTATATAAATTGTATTAAATATTTCCTATTTGCTTACAGATCTTAAACAAGAACTTAATGTGAAAACACGTTACACCTCCACAAACGGTACACAGAATGGCGGTCTGGTGGTGGGTTCTGGCTCTGAAATTACCACACCCAATGGCATTAATGGTGATATAATGTTGCAGTCGCACGATACAGCAGCCCTTAATAATACCAATACGTTAGGAACAACAAATAATACAGCAACAAATATTAATGATTATCAATTACAACAGCGTTCATTAAAAAGTAAGATATGCCGTTCATTAAAACAAACCAGACACGCTTTAAAATTAACTAAAAAGTATCGTAAAAAAGATTAAGAATTTTTGTTGAAAAAAAAAAAAAAAAAAAATGAAAATACACACAGGGGTCTAAATCACAACACACAAACAAACACTATAAAAAAAGCACATTTTATTTATTTTATTATTATCTTATTATATTTATACGCTTTTTATTTATTTGTATTTTTACATATTTTAAGTGTTAATCTCTTAATATTTGTAATGTAAGTTTTTTTTTATTTACTGTAGCGTATGTATATTTTTATTTTATTTTGTTTCATTATGCATTTTATCATTTCTTTGTCTTCTATGTTGTAATGGAAATTTACATAATTTTTTGCTTTAACGATGGTTATATTTGAACAACTGGTAAATGACATTTTTTTGTCAGTTACAAGTTGTCTAGGTAAGACTATTAGTATTTATTTGTTAGTTTAAAACTCTTTTTTTTTAAACATTTTTAGTTTTTCTTTAATTTTGTAAGTTGTATACAATTTGTACTTTTGTGTTTTTTGATTTAAAACAAATACTATTTAAAATTCCTATTTGTATTCCTAAAAATTGTGTAAATTTTAAAGATTTTAAAAAATTCTTTTACTTTAATTGAGATAATTTTTTTATAAAAGTGACTCAATTACATTTTTTATTCAAACATTCTTTTGTATGTATAATATTTATAAATGTTAAGTTATTTTTCTATTAATGTTAATAAATACATTGTAAAAATGCTCATTAATTAAAGAAATAAAATCATCAAGCAGGTTCATTTCATCTTCATCATAATTGTCGTAAATCATTTCACATAATTAAGTAATTTTGTTCATTTATATTTAGTTAATCAAAGTGCATTTGTGTTGTGTTTGTCCCCCCCTGTGTAAATTCTATTAATCTTTTATCCCTCTACTACCTTTCCTATTTTTTTAGTTATTTTTTTAGTTTAATACTTCCTTCCTCTATTTGAAATTTAATATGAAAAATGGTAATTTGTATTGTTTTTTTGTTTTGCTAAATCTAGGAAAACCATTTGCCGATCCGGATAATTTACTTAATGGTAATGCAATGACTGCTAGTTCACGTACGACAGCATTTAACATTGTCACTGATATGCTCAGAAAATTAAATGTAAGTATAATGTTTTCTTTTTGTTTTTAAAATTTTTTTAAAAATGGTGTGGGATTTTTGTGTAATTTTCTACTTATAAAATAATCTCTTTGTTTTAGTTATAGTCCATTTTTAATGCATGTTTTCTAATAAATTTTGTTTAATTATTTGTTTGTTCTAACAAAAAAACAAGTCTAGAAAAACTAAGTGTTTTATCCATACGAAAGTAATTTATTACAACAGTAATGTTTCACTTTGATGGTAATATTATCTCTTATCTCTCTCCAATTGTTTGTTTAAGAAATATGTGTTTGTCTATTTGTTTTGTTTGTTATTGTCTAGTATAATTTAAATGTCATTTGTTTAAGAAATAATGAACATTATTATTGTTATAATAGACGTTGGGGGTTTTGAAAAATCGTTGATTTATCATAATTTAAAACAGAAATTTTGTAAAAACATCAAAACTGTTGCAGTATTTTTATTCTTACAAGACAACAAGTAAAAGTGGTGGTAAAATTGGTTACAAATATAAAAATTTTTCAAAATATAATTTTTAAAATAATTGGAATTTTTAAAAAATTTTTTAGTTTTAGTAATTGTAAACTTTTCAAAATTTTTCTCTACTTTTGTAGAAATTTAAAAAAAAAATTTATATTTTTGGGAAATTTTCAAAATTTGTCTTATTTTTGGGAAAAATTTCAAAATATTTTTAGTTTTAGAAAAATTTTCAAAATTTTTGAAAATTTTCCATTTTTAAAAAATTTTTTACTTTGAGGAAAATTGTCAATATTTGTCTATTTTTAGGATAACTTTAAAAATTTGTCTATTTTTAGGGGAATTTTTAAAATTGGGAAATTTTTTTAAAATTGGGAAATTTTTAAACTTTGTCAATTTAAGGGAAATTTTTAAAATTTTTCTAATTATAGAAAAGTTTTCAAAATGTTTCTATTTATGGGAAATTTTTCAAATATTTCCATATATAGGGAGATTTTACGAAATTTTCCACTTTTGGGGAAATTTTATAAAATTTTCTATTTTGAGTAAAATTTTCAATATTTGTATATTTTTAGGGAAATTTTTTAAAATTTTATCTATTTTTAGGGAATTATTTTCCGTTTAGAGAAAATTTTTTGAAAATCATCCAATTTTGGAAAATTTTTTCCAAAAAATTTTAGGAAATTTTTAAAATTTGTCAAATTCCATTTTTTTTTAATTTTTTAGAAAATTTAAAAATTTTGTTTATTTTTGAGAAATTTTTCAAATATTTCTATATATAGGGAAATTTTCGTAACTTGTCCAATTTTGGAGAAATTAATTCGAAAGTTGTCCATTTTTGGGGACATTGTAAAAATTTGTCAATTTAAGGGAAATTAATATTTTTTAAAATAAAAAAAAAAATTAAAAATCCATTTAGGGGGAAATTTTTAAAATTTGCATAATTTTGGAGAAATTTTCAAACATTTTAGGTGCATTTTTGGGAGAATTTTAAAAATTTTTCATTTATAGGGAAATTTGTTGAAATTTGTCTATTTCTGGACAAAAAAACTAATTAAGGAAATTAAAAACCAACATAATTAAGGAAATTTCGAAATTTAACTATTTTAAAGAAATTTTTCAAAATTTGCCTTTTTTATAGAATTTTAAAAAATTTTCTTGTTTAGGTTTGGGTAAGAAGGCTAGCCACTCAAACAATCTTGAGTGGCCCAGGTGGTTTCACCCTATTGCGGTGCCGTTGTGATGACCTAGTGTTTATAGGAGTCCATTAAAGCACTACTCATTACTTTCAGATTTAAACCAGCCGATTTGATTCATAAAGTTTCAGGCATATCCCAATTAGCTACATCAAACAAGAGAGAGCATCAAACCCGAAACATTGTTTTCTGCTTTCAATGAATAATGGGCAATAGCAAAGTTGGTGAGGTATTATTTCCACTTCTTCCTCATTATGACAACTTCTAAAGTAATCGCTGTATTCGAGACCCATTTTTCTGACGTACTTGCCAATTGCATAGTGGTCTCGTTATGATTGATAGCAGCATTCTTATTTGATCCCTGCGAATGCTTAACAATAAGCTTGATGTGGGAGTTAAACCATCTAATTTGACCGATTTCATATAGTTTAGTCTGAACCAGTGACTTTTTGGTCGCAACTTTGGTGTGCCTTAAAGGTAGTATCAAATTTAATTCCAAATCTTTCAATGTAAAACCCAGAACTCATAACTTTTACTCCTTTTGGAGCCATTAGTGTAAACATTCGTTACATCATTGGTTGAGTGGGACTCGTTTACTGAATTCCTAGCAGGAATTGTTGTTGTTGTAACAGTTCCACTGTGGCCGATAGTTCTTTCCTGGGAAAAAACTTTCGGTTGATACAGCTGTCGCTGGGTTGACAATCTTTGGCCGAGTATGACTTGGGTCGTTCCGGAGCGAAGATCCAATTGTCGTGGGAACGTCTAGCAGGAATTCGGATATGATAGCTTCTGTTGCAATAAGGTTTAGCAATGCAATAGTCTACATTAAGCTGCAAGAATTGTTTTTACTGCCAGACCACGAATCACATAGGTTAGGTCTGATTTCAGAATTAAGGGCTAGTTGTATTACCATCAGACCAGCTGGTAACTAATTCCCTACAGTTAGCAAGGCTTTTGTTGGCGACGTCCTTATTGCTCCCGCAATCCTAATTGCAATGTTTGGCAGGGTGTGTTAACGCTGTAACGAAGAATATCTCTTTGTCATCTGATTCAGAGATCTGATGCCAGGTATTTCCTCACTCCAACGCAAACTATTGAACAAGATTTTTGTCTTTGACATCGCAGTTCTTTCTTTCTTAGCCTTCGGCTAATCGGTAAAAAAGCATCCCTTAACAAATCCAATTATAACACAACATCTTGCCACTCGTCAGAGAGCGGATTTTAACTTTTTTAACATCGAAATGGCACTAGTTTTCTCAAAGTAGTCTCTTGACGTGAGACCATTGAAATACAGTCAGCACTTGTTCTTTATGGTCCACGATTCTGGCCTTTTAGTTCAATTCTCTGCTTTTAAACGATATTATCTGAAACAGATTATCACTAACAATGAATTTAAAGGCATCGTATCGGTTCGACGGTGGATATCTTATGATTTGTTAGAGATTTACTTTTCCGATTTTTCAGATGTTTCCTCCTTTGTTTCTTTAATGTAAATGTATTTCCTGCTTGAGCTTGCTCAAATCTAAGTGTATGCATGTGTGTGTGCTTTAAATTGTTTGTGTCTTTGTTAAAACTATGATATTCACTATTAAGTATTGGTTTGTGTCCATGATAAACAGATCAAAAATGAAGTTTTCGAAATAAGAATAATTGAATTCAATACCAGATACAAAACGTAATTAAGGTCTAAAGTTTATAACATTTTTGAAAGGGCATACAAATTTGATTTTCCAACTAGCAACATAAAGATTAGAATATTGAAGTTGTGGATAAATACGAAATTCTAAATTTTCTTCTATATAAAAAAACATTTGAAACACATTCAACATACAAGTACATCTCTTACTAATTCCATTGCACTAAACATTAAAAATGAATTCTACCTTAAAAAAAAAGCTTCAATTTCTTACTTTCCTTCATACTACTTGTAGTCCTAATGTCATGCATTGTTACTTATATACCTTTTCAAAACAACTTTCTAATATTACATTCTTTTACATTTTTCTAACAGTAACATTAATTGCATACATTCTTAAAGGAATTAAAAAAAACAAAAACAAAGACTAACCTTTGGTCTAACTCTTAAAAAAAAGAAAAAACTTCGTTAAAAACACAACCTCAAAATTTCTATTCTATATAAATTATCTTTCAGTTGGATAAAGCACTTTTATGTCCTCAATGTGATCGTTTTAGTTGTATATGTGAAAGAACGAAAGTCAACACCACCGCCACCACCAATTCCACCTCTTTCTCCTCCACCAACAAAACATCTAAGGCAAATAATGATGATACCCAAATGTCGACGGTGTCAGAAGATGCCCCCGACAATAATAATGTTTTATTGCGTCGCTCCACTAGTCGCAGTAATACAAGTTTAAATTTTGGCTCAAACATTTTTAAACGTTTTGCTGAACGCATGAGTTCAAATAATAATATTTTTGCGGCAACTTTAAGAAATTCCTCCAATAGTAGTGAAATACCAAATAATATAAATATTTAATATGTTTAGACCAAAAAAGACATAGAGATTATTTTTTTTTCGTAAAAATTTAAAAATGGACTGATGAAATTATATAAAGCTTAACAAGTTAAAATACTAATTAATCAAAAAAAATACTAGTGTTCGTTTTGTTAGCTTTAGTAGATTTTATTAAGAAAGACCTACTTTTAGTTGGAGAAAAAACTTACAATTTTCTGTATTAATATTTAATGTTTAATTTAATTTTATTTAATTATATAATTTTTATTTATATAACTGTAGCCTAATAATTTTATGTATTAAATATTTTTTTTAATAAATTTTTTATTTTATTAATTGTTTCTTTTATATATTTTATGTTTAAGCTTCATAACACACATAAAGCTCAAATCCCACCTTTATATTTGCGTAAAATATTGAAAACTTTCTGAAAATTAAAAATTTCCTATAGAAGTAGTTAATCTCTCTGAAGAGATCGAAACTTTGCTATTTAAACTAATGATATCTTAAGTGAAATCCAAAATTTCCTTATAGAAATTAATGATCTCTCTGGAGAGATCACAAATTTCCTAAAGAAATTGATGATCTCTCGGGAGAGATCTAAAATTTCATAAAGAAATTGATGATCCTTTGGGAGAGATCTAAAATTTCCTAAAGAAATTGATGATCTTCCGTGAGAGATCAAAAATTTCATAAAGAAATTGATGATCTCTCGGGAGAGATGAAAAATTTCCTAAAGAAATTAATGATCTCTCGGGAGAGATGAAAAATTTCCTAAAGAAATTGAAGATCTCTTCGGAGAGAATAAAAATTTCCTAAAGAAATTGATGATCTCTCAGGAGAGATGAAAAATTTCCTAAAGAAATTTATGATCTTTTGTGAGAGATCAAAAATTTCCTAAAGAAATGTATGATCTCTTGAGAGAGATCAAAAATTTCCTAAAGAAATGGACGATCTCTCGGAAGAGATCGAAACTTTTCTAAAGAAATTCATGATTTCTCGGGAGAGATGAAAAATTTCCTAAAGAAATTGATGATCTCTCGGGAGAGATGAAAAATTTCTTAAAGAAATTGATGATTTCTCGGGAGAGATCAAAAATTTCCTAAAGAAATTGAAGATCTCTTCGGAGAGAACAAAAATTTCCTAAAGAAATTGATGATCTCTCGGAATAGATCGAAACTTTCGTAAAGAAATTGATGATCTCTCGGGAGAGATCAAAACTTTCGTAAAGAAATTGATGATCTCTCGGGAGAGATCAAAACTTTCGTAAAGAAATTGATCATCTCTCGGGAGATATCAAGATTTCTTAAAGAAATTGATGGTCTCTCGGGAGAGATCAAAAATTTCCTAAACAAATTAATGATCTTTCGGGAGAGATAAAAAATTTCTCAAAGAAATAGATGATCTCTCGGAAGAGATGAACAATTTCCGAAAGAAATTGATGATCTCTCGGCAGAGATGAACAATTTTCGAAAGAAATTGATGATCTCTCGGCAGAGATGAAAAATTTCCTAAAGAAATTGATGATCTCTCGGGAGAGATCAAAAATTTCCTAAAAAATTGATGATCTCTCGGGAGAGATCAAAAATTTCCTAAAAAATTGATGATCTCTCGGGAATGATCAAAAATTTCTTAAAGAATTTGACGATCTCTCGGGAGAAGTCAAAAATTTCCTAAATAAATTGATGATCTTTCGGGAGAGATGAAAAATTTCCTAAAGAAATTGATGATTCCTCGTGAGAGATCAACAATTTCCTAAAGAAATAGATGATCTCTCGGGAGAGATCAAAAATTTCCTAAAAAAAAATTGATGATCTCTCGGGAGAGATACAAAATTTGCTAAAGAAATTGATGATCTCTCGGGAGAGATCAAAAATTTCCAAAGAAATTGATGATCTCTCGGGTGTGAACAAAAATTTCCAAAGAAATTGATGATCTCTTGAGAGAGATCAAAAATTTTCTAAAGTAATTGATGATCTCTTGGGAGAGATCAAAAATTTCTTAAAGACATTGATGATCTCTCGGGAGATGAACAATTACCTAAAGAAATTGATGGTGAAGGTTATTTAAGGTTCAATAACTTCGCAAAAAGACGAAAAATTTTCCTAATTTTATAAAAAATTATCATTTTAATACAATTTAATGATCTTTTCCAGGCAATCGAAACAAAATTGAAAACTTATCGAGAACATGGACCAGCAATGCCACCGAGACAATGACAACAAACCCCCAGTTGCTGTGCAGCAACACAATATTCAACAATAACAACAAGCAACACCGAAATCGATGACAATTATGATGTGAATAAATTAATTGAGGATGATACAGGAGATGAAAGCATACTACAGCAGGCAACTACAAATTTGATTGCAGCAGCAACCATAGCACCCCTAACAACTATTTAAACAAAAGAATAAAAACAACAAAAAAAAAAAGAAGTAATATTTAACAAAACAGAAAAAAAATCAATTATTATATGTTATTAAATATTTTTTTTTCTTTTTTTATTATCCTGTGATGCATATATATTTATTTAAATAATGACTTAACAACAACTGACATTACAACAAAACGACAACAACATACTCATTTGTTAAAAAAAAAATAGAATTATTAAAAAGAAATGTAATTTATACATAACATGAAAAATCTCTTTATGAAAATACAAACTAAACAAGAATTAAATTATATTATAACGAAAATCCAATTGTAAAAAGCGTACAAAAACAAATAATAAAACAAAAAAAAAATATTAAATTATTAGAAACAATTTAAAAACTTAACGCTTTGAAAGTGTTGAAGAAGAAAACAAATTCCTGAGAAGTTTGAAAGTTGTAATGATATTGGATTATTTAGAGATTGATGATCTCTTTTGGGAGAGTTATACAATTTTCTTAGGAAATTGATGTAAATCTCTTGAAAGAGATCTCAAGAGAGATGGATAAGTTTCTAAAGAAAGATCAAAAATTTCCTAAAGATATAGATGATTTCTCGGGAGATATCAAAAATTTCCTAAAGTAATTGTTGGTCTCTCGGGAGAGATGAACAATTTCCTAAAGAAATTGATAATCTTTCGGGAGAGATCAAAAAATTCCTAAAGTAAATTATGTTTTCTTGGTAGAGATCAAGAATAGCCTAAAGAAGTTATTGATCTCTTGGAAAAAATGAAAAATTTCCTAAAGAAATTGATGATCTCTCGGGACAGATCAAAAATTTCCTAAAGAAATTGATGATCTCTTGTCTGATATAAAAAATTTCCTAAAGAAAATTGATGATCTCTCGGGAGAGATAAAAAATTTACTACAGAAATTGATGATTTTTCAGAAGAGATCAAAAATTTACTACAGAAATTGATGATTTTTCAGAAGAGATCAAAAATTTACTACAGAAATTGATGATCTCTCGGGAGAGATGAAAAATTTCCTAAAAAATTGATGATCTCTCGGTAGAGATGAAAAATTTCCTAAAGAAATTGATGATCACTCGGGAGAGATCCAAAATTTCCAAAATAGATTGATGATCTCTCGGGAGAGATCAAAAATTTTCTTAAGAAAGTGATGATCTCTCGGGAGAGATCAAACATTTCCTAAAGAAATTGATGATCTCTCGTGAGAGATCAAACATTTCCTAATGAAATTGATGATCTCTCGGGAGAGATGAAAAATTTCCTAAAGAAAGTGATAATCTTTTGTGAGAGATCAAATATTTCCTAAAGAAACTGATGATCTTTCGTGAGAGATCAAAAATTTCCTAAAGAAATTGATGATCTCTCGGGAGAGATCGAAACTTTCTTAAAGAAATTTGATGATCACACGGGAGAGAACAAAAATTTCCTAAAGAAATTGATGATCTCTCGGGGGAGATGAAAAATTTCTTAAAGAAATTGATGAACTTTTGAAAGAAACCTCTTGAGAGACATCAAAAATTTCATAAAGAAATTGATGATCTTTCAGAAGAGATCAAAAATTTCCTGAAGAAATTGATAATCTTTCAGAAGAGATCAAAAATTTCCTAAAGAAATTGATGATCTTTTGGGATAGATCAAAAATTTCCTAAACAAATTAATGATCTTTTGGTTGAGATGAAAAATTTCCTAAAGAAATATGATGATCATTATTAAGAGATCAAAAACAAAACCGAAATCAAACAAATTATACAATTTTTTTAATCATAAGAGTATGTTGCAAACAAATTTTTGTTTAATTTTATTAAACGCACATCCTTTAGAATTGTTTTTTGTTTAACAAATTTCGAATGCTTGCCACAAATAAAAGACTCCTTTCTTATTTCGTAAATTCCTTCAACAAAGTATAAATATTTTGCTGCTCGTCAAGATAAAAAGCTACACTTAATTGTCTTGAACTTTGTTTTAAATAAAACAAACTCATTTTTTATTTAATTTTTTTTTCTAAGAAATTCTAATAAATGTGATTTAAAAAATTGAAGGGAAACAGTAAAATGAAAATAAAGTTTTACTAAAACAGCGCCAGAAATTTCCAATATCAATTATAGATAAAAATGAAGTAAAAAGCTGTTAAACCAAACTAAATAGATTTAAAAAGTTTTAGAAGTGTTTTTTAAAGAATCCGGGAAAATTCTTTTTGAAAATTGTAATACATTACGAAAAGAGTTTAAATTTCTGTTTTAGAAATGATTTCTTTGGTGAATGCCCAGATTCGTTTGACTAAACAGCAAACAAGGTTTTGTAAAAACCTCAAATTTTGAAATGTATTGAAACATTTTTAAATACAAAACTTTATTTTTTTTAATTTTTTTATATAAAATAAAACTTATAATTAATTTATGTGTGTTTTTTTTCTAATTTAAATAAAATTAAAAATATATAAAACGTTATATATTTAAAAAAACAATAATGAATGTTTAAAACAATACTTTATTTTTTTACATAAAAAAACGAAAAAAAAGAATAAAAATAAATATATTTAAAACAAAATATAAAACAAAAACAACCTTATAATAATTGCCTTTTTTTGCTAAATATTTATAACAAACTAATTTAAAAAAAAAAAACAAAGAAAAAAATATATATAAAAAAATTCAAAACAACAATTTCAAAACTTAAAACAAAATTAAGTTTTGAAACTATTGTTATGTCTAATCTTCATTATTTTAGC